GTCAGTTTTCTCACTCCATTTGGTGCTTGGCTGAGTTCTTTATCTCTTCATTTGATGTTTTAGGGTTTCAGGATTGTTGTATTCTCTGTTCGGCTTAGTTTTTTAGATCTTTGCTGTGGAGGGACGGCGTGGTGCTTCTGCCTAGAGTGCCATTTTGCCGGAACTCCTTGACTTTTTTTTTAAATGAAAGTTGATACAGTATTCTGACCTTTAATGCAGCTCCATTTTGCCCTTTAAATGAGATTTATCATCGTTGCCTTAGCTTCTCTTTTTGCTATCTTTAGAAGATGAGTTTTCTGAGTCACATCAGAAGTGTTTTACAGTTTTCCTGTCCCTTTGGATTTGTTTCCTGTTACGTTTGTTTGTCTTTATATTTGGCTTGTAAGGGCTTTTTCCTTCCCCTTTTTTTACATCCATGATGCCCAGCCAAATGTGATTTTTGGTATTGTATAGCAAAATTCTTCTTAGGGTTAAATAAATCACCTGATCTACATAGTTCAAATTCATACTACAATATAACTGTTTTCTCAGAAATTAGAGTAAAAATTGTTACTGTCCATGTAAGGGAAATAGATGAGAGTTATGAGACATAATCTCTACTCTCAAGGAGCTTATAGTCTAGTTGAGAAACCAGAGTTAAATATATGAAGCTAAAACATTTAGATAATAGTTCTAGTAGTATACTCCATAGAAGAGTACATAATATATATTAGTATACAGACAGTGATGACTCTGGAATTTAGAGAAAGGAGTGATCACTTCAGTCCAGGTTAGTCAAGGAAAACTTTATTAGGCTGATAGAATTTGAACTTAGTCTTGAAATATGAGTGATTTTTTAATTAGAGAAGACTAATTTAGGCTTTTTGGTGAGTTTCACAATATTTTGTCCTTTAATTTTTTTCATTAAAAAAAAATCTTTATATGAACTATTCTTTTTTAATTATACTTTCTATTCTGTGTAGGTATAGTGAACACTTGCAAGTGTTTGACATGTCAGTTGCTATATCTCTGCCTTCAGTTTTCTACTTCTGTGTTTTTGTCACAGGTATCCTGATTTTCAGCTGCTGAAAGAAGGACAAAGGTATGGTTGAATCAGTATCACTTATCTTCTGTAAATTCATATTAGTAGAAACGTTAGGAGTAAACCAGGTGACATGAGCTCTTGGGCTTCCTGTGCTGATGCATTATGTAAATATTCCATTCTGATCTACACAAAGAAATATTTGGCCTGTTTAGGTTTTTCTTTTGTGATGGTAAGATGATGTGTTTGATCTGTATGATGTATTGTACAGCTGTTCCTACTGAGGATCTCTAATTGAACCTGTTGAAATATGACACAAACACAACTTCCATCTGAGATACTGTGGTTCTTTGTCAACCAGATTGTGCCAGTTACATCTGTTGAAAGGTTTTTAGATCTTATTTTATTAGGATTTCAAGATATTAATGTATCAGTTATTTAATTATTTGAAAGAGTGTCTAAAGCATTAATAGAAATTCCAAATTGTAATTGTTTTTTCTCCAAAACTCTCCTCATGGTTTTGCATGCCCAGCTATAACCATCTCTCAAAACATGTCTTTTCACTCCCAGAATGAAATTCCCTGGTTATCGGTCACCACCTTTATTACATGGAATTGAGCACAAGTGAGAGAGATTTATTTATTGAGTCATATCTTTAATTTATAGTTTCAAAGTAATATAGAAAAATGTAACTGCCTTAAAATTCCATCTTTAATAGAAAGTACGAAATACATGAAAATTGAATTGTTCTAACTTGTATGAAATTATGCTTACTTTTCTATATAGTCCCATGGCTATATAGGCTAGATTTTAACTAAAAAAAATGTTTAATACTGAACAGACTTGTCATCCTTTCTCCGTTCCCATCCACAACCTGGAGCCCTGGTGGCGTAGTGGTTAAGAGCTTGGCCGCTAACCAAAATGTCAGCAGTTTGAATCCACCAACTGCTCCTTGGAAACTCTATGGGGCAGTTCTGCTCTGTCCTATAGGGTCACTCTGAGTTGGAATCGACTCGACAGCAATGGGGTTTTTTAATCCACAACCTTGTTTTCAACTCTTATTTATTTATTTATTTATATTTTCCCCGCAGCATGTTTCTTGACCCAGAATCCTTCTCGACCAATCTTTTATCTGAATGTGGGTTTGTCTGAAGGCAGCCGCTCACCTATCCTTCTCTGTGTCAAGTTTGTATTGGCAAAGCTTCTTTGTGCCTTCACTGTTTCATAATTTTTAATCTTTTTCAAACCTACCCAGAAAATGGAAGGAACATTGTCCAGAGGAAAGCTGTTGTCTTTTATTGTTAGCATTCTGTTATAACTCTGGGTTTTCAAATTTAAATATCTTTCATTGATGATTGTTGATTTGCCAACTTTATTTCACCCTATGACTTTCTGTGTTTTTTACTCTGTCTTTGAAATCTTCCGTATGATCAAAACCAAAAACTAAACCCGTTGCCATCAGGTTGATTCTGACTTATAGCGACCCTCTAGGACGGAGTAGAGCTGCCCCACAGGGTTTCCAGGGAGTGGCTGGTGGATTTGAACTGCCAGCCTTTTGGTTGGCAACCGAACTCTTAAACACTACGCCACCAGGGACTGTCAGTGAAAACTGGAAAATGTTTACCCATCTCTTTTTATGTTTTTATCTTTCTAAGCAGGGTTCTTGTAATATATTTTTCGGGAAATCAGTATTAAAATTTTCAAAAGAAAATTACAGATTATGTACAACAGTCACGAGAAAGGAATAGGCAAAAGTCAAAATAATTCAGCAGGATGGAGTTATCAAATGTTTCTTTTTTCTTTTTGCTGTACTCCTTTTATAAATTTTAAATGGTTAGAAAAAAAGTTAAGAGAAGATGATGAAAGGAGACCTGTATCAAATATATACTCACTGTAGAGAAATTATAACCTTTTGAAATTTATGTATCAAAGCCTATTAACAAGGCTTTGCATAGGAGATAAAATGTCTGCTTTGAAAGTTACAAAGTGTAAGTACTGTGGGAAACTTTGCTTTCTTTTTGTAGTTATTTTGTTTCTTTTTCCTTCTACAGTGGGCATTCTGGAGAAGAAGTACAGTTACGTAGTCAGGCCATTAAAATGTCAGATATTGAAAATCCTGGCCATTCTGAAAAACAGTATGAATCTAGTTCTTCTAGCACTCGTAGTGATAGTAGCAGTGATAATGAGCAAGACTTTGTTTCCTCCATTCTTCCAGGAAACAAACCAAATGCAGCGGGTATAAGTCCACAGCTGCACAAAAAAAGCATAATGAGAAAGAAAGCTGGTCACAAAGTTAACCCCAAACACAACGACAAAGAACAGGCAATAGTAGATGTCGCTGAGCGGTTAGACAATTGCAGATTAGATAGTCAGGAGAAAGCTGCTGCTTGTGTCCTTCCTTCACAGAATGTAAATGCTCAGATTTCGTCAAACAATCCTTTGCAAGAAAAATTAAAAGCCTCTGAAAATAAATACAGTAGCTCAGAAGTAACTCTAGTAGGCATAAGTAAGAAAAGTGCAGAACATTTTAAAAGGAAATTTGCCAAATCAAACCAAGTTTCTAGGTCAGCGTCTAGTTCAGTGCAGGTTTCTCCTGAAGTTGCAAAGACAAACTTACTTAAAGTCCTGAAGGAGACTTTGATTGAGTGGAAGACAGAGGAAACTTTGAGATTTTTGTATGGTCAGAATTATGCTTCTGTGTGTCTGAAACCCCCTTCAGTCTGTTTGATTGAAGCAGAAGAACTTGATGAAGATGACTTAAATTCTGACCCAGTCAGTCATCCTCTTGTCTTGAGGGAATCTCAGAACAGTTTGGATGAGGCTTTGCCTTTCAGAGGTTCAGATACAGCCATCAATCCATTGCCAAGTTATGAGAACTTGAAAAAAGAAACTGAAACATTAAATCTAAGGATCAGGGAATTTTATAGAGGTCGATATGTTTTGAATGAAGAATCCAGCATGTCACAAGACTCGGAGGAGGTATGTTTTCATGATAAGTTTTTCCGTGATGCTAACATTCAGAAAACTCACCATGGCAAATCTTGGAGCAGAAGAACATTGTAGAGATAACTGTTAAATTTCAGAAGGTTACTTTAGTCATTCTATCTTAATTTAAAATTCTACCTCCAGTATTGGCATTACTATTTTCCAAATAAGTTGACGTTTGCCCTTGGTAAATTTTCATAAACATGTAACATTTTTCTCTAATGTAGAAATAGCCTAGAAAGGTGAGGCAGATTTTTCTTGAAAACTTAGTTTTTCAAGTCAGCTCTGTGAAGAGGCTTGCCTTTTCTTTGTTGGTATGTATTTTTTCAAATTTCTACATGGAGTGTGTTTCCCTCCCCCCGCCCCCACCGTCACCCCTCTATAGAACTGTATACAGTGGAATAGACTTATTAGTTGACTAGTAAAATATTTATCTGAGTAATATTTGGGAAACATGCCCATTTAAAATATAGATGAAAATAATATGGTAAAGGAGACTTACTGGAAATAATGGATATAGGAGAGCATAGAAAGAGCACATTCAGATAGATTTAGGTTTGAATCTGCTCTGTCACTTCCTAGCTGTATGAAAAGTTATTTAAAGTTTCTTGAGTCTTTTTGCTTATTTGTAAATGGGAATATTAATGATTTCCCTTTCAAAATTGTTATGAGTTTTAAAGATGATTTATGTAAAGCATTTATTACAGTGTCTGACATATAATTGGTATATGTAAATCAGAAAACCAGTTAATCAGTAAATAGTAGTTAAATGCAGAGACTGAATTTATGCAACTGAGATGTAGGGAGGATTTCTTAGTATTTCTTTTACCCATTTTTGGTTGATGTGGTGTACTGTCTGAAAATGAACTCATCTGCCATGAAAAGAAGTTATTTTAAACGATGATAACTTCACTATCTGGATTCCCTGGGGGTTGATTTCTATGGTTGAATGTTTTCAATTTTGATCATATTGTCTTGTTTTACTATGTGCCAAAAATTGTATATAAAAAAGTCACAGAGATAATTTGAGACCCAGGATGATGCTGTCTTCCTCTAGAATGGATTTGTATTTGCTTCTGGCTAGCGATTTGTAGCAGTCCGAAATCACCTGAATCTAATCAGGGATTAAGATGATTTGAAGTTGGGCATCAGTCCTTGTAAGAGCAAGTCTATTTTCTATCCATTCTTACTGTCAGAGCATGGTCCTTCTAGGTCCTGGTCTCAAGCCTGGGGTGGTTTGCTGGTACTCCCTTCTTGGCATGCCCCAAACTCTAAAAAAGTTTTTTAGTAGAAGAACTCTGCTCAGGTTCTCAGTATCTCAGTTGCTTTTTCTGGAATTGGTCAATACTTTCTGTGGAATTACTTCTCCAGGATCTCCGCCCATAATTTTTCACTGCCCTTTTAGCTCTCTGGAGCCCTGGTGGCGCAGTGGTTAAGAGTTCAGAACCGACTCTATGGCACACAACAACAACAACATACAAATATAAGGGGTTACCCAAACCGAAAACCCACCACCATTGAGTCGATTCCAACTCAGCAACCCTATAGGTCAGAGTAGAACTGCCCCATAGGGTTTCCAAGTAGCGACTGGTGGATTCGAACTGCCGGCCTTTCAGTTAGCGGCCCAGCTCTTAACCATCACAGAAAGTCCTTCTGTATACATTTACTCACTTAGTAAAGGAGCATTCCTGTTACCAATTCTGACTCATAGAGACCCTATAGGACAGAGTAGAACTGCCCTTAGGGTTTCCAAGGCTGTAAATCTTTATGGAAGCAGCCTGCCACATCTTTCTCCCATGGAGCAGCTGGTGAGTTCCAGCTGCTGACCTTTTAGTTAGCAGCAGCCAAGAGCTTAACCATTACACCACCAGGGCTCCAAAAGGAGCATTTGTATCCCTGTTTTACATATGAAAAAACTCACTCCTGAAGAGAGCAAATAATTCAGTTTTAAGTTCACAACAGCCTAATGACTGAGCTGATACTCAGACCTTCTGATTTTTAAGTCTAGTTCTTTCTCTACTGTGCAACAGTTGTAAACTTTTGGGTTTTAATGTTGATTGTTCTTACTGACCAGTGAAAGAATGTAAAATTTTGTTTCTGTTTTGTTTTGTTTAAAAATTTCATTTAGCGTAATCTCACCTTTCCACTGATGGATTCAAGTTCTCAGAACCAGATTAGAAAACGCATCGTACTTGAAAAATTGAGTAAAGTGTAAGTATGTAATTGTCACTCCAATTTTGTAATATTTTTAAATTAATTTGAGATTATGAGCTCATAATTTCTATGTATTATCCTTGAATTTTGAACATTTAAAAAAATAATGTGGTAGTTCACATTGATATCTTCACCTGATAATTTAGGTTTTTACAATATCTTGTTAAGGCAGTATTGAAAGGAAGTCCAGTGTAGAAGACACCAAACCAAAAAAACCAAACCCATTTCCGTCGAGTCGATTCCAACTCATAGGAGTAGAACTGCCCCATAGTGTTTCCAAGGAGTGCCTGGTGGATTCGAACTGCCGACCTTTTGGTTAGCAGCCATAGCACTTAACCACTATGCCATCAGTGTTTCCGTAGAAGACACAGAGGCCCATAATAAAGAGGAAGGTTGAGATTATGGGAGTGAGGCAGCCAAACTGTCTCACTCCCACTTAATCCAGTGAAGTCAGGGAAAAATATCACAGTTAGACCCATTTAACTACTGATTTGTGGTAAATGTGTCACATCAGTTTGACATTTGAATGTGTGACTTTATAAGGTTTTAACGGTCTGTTAAGTAACTCTGCATACATACTCATAGAACCATTTAACGTTCAGCAGCTGAGCTTTTGTTCAACTCTGCTTTTCATTTTAACTTTTAGCTTCCCGTGGTGGAAACTCCTGTTCTTGTAATTAGCTCAGTCATAAATGACATTTTAAAATTGCTGTTTTGGTTTCTCTTTCAAAAGGTACATGAAAATCTTTTTCCAGAGATCTGAGGGTTGTCTTGAACTTTCAACTTGAATTTTCTTCCTTTTTTTAACAGAAAAGATGGAGAGGTGTTTTTTTAATTTGTTGTTTAAGGTGTGCATATGGAGAAATCTTAATTTTGTAGCAGTTTGAAAATAAGAAAAACACATATTTCCTGGAAGCCATTATATTTTGAGCAGCCCAGATATAAAACATTAGCAGTGATATACTAAGTGATGTGATTATTTTACTTTAAAATACGTATTTCTAACCAAAACTTGAAATCATTTTGATTGGCTTTGTATCTTGATTTGAACTGTTACAAAAGATGAATTGATAGGAAGAATTTACTCCTCTAAAATTTACATTTAGAATAAATATTTAAATTAATATTTATTGAGCATGTATGCCAGGCTCTTCATATATAACAGATCTGTATTAGTTTTGCCTTTATCTGGCCTCATACTTGTAAGTTTGTTTCTGTTAAAAATTAGCTTAGAAAACAGTAGAAGTCACCATCTATCTGATTCATAGGAAAGAAGATATCAACCCTTTAGTTTTAAAAGTTGGGATGGATTGTCAGTACTAGTGTATAATCAGTACATAGGGCTTTAAGTGGAAATAGTTCTCTAGACTTTTAAATTTAAGCGGTTTACAAAGGCATAGGCATGTCATTGAAGGAGTTCTATTCCTGTTGAATTTTGGTTGTAGCAGCATACCAGATGGAACCCTGCTAGAAGACCAAATATTGATATTGGCACAAGAACTGAATTTGAGAAGAAGTGGAATGGCTTAGAGAAAAGGAAGAACTGAAAACAATAACAATTATAATAGCATAGGGCTTTTTTTTTTTAAATGAAAGCAGTTGGGTTTTTTCCTTACTATAAAACTAATACCTGGTTATAAAAGTGTTTATATTTTTTGATTTATTTGGTTTATGATTTGAACAGGCATTTTTTACATTATTGGAGAAAATTAAATACGGGTTAGGTATTAGACGATATTAAAGAATTATTGTTAATTTAAGTAGATATGATAATCTTATTATGGCTATAAGAAAATGTCTTTGTATTTAGAGATAAATATAGAAATATTGAAGTGTCAAATGACACAGTATCAGAGATTTACTTTAAAATGTTACTGCAAAAAATAAATAGAAGAAAGGTAAAATGAAGTAAATGTGACAAAATATTGGGAGATTTAATCTGGGTATAGATATATGGGATTATTATTACTATTCTCTCTACTCTGGAGCATGTTTGAAACTTTCAAAATAAAGCTTTGAAAAAATAATACGTGCTTATTGCAGAAGATTTAGGCAATACAAAATGGTATGAAAAAGGAAGAAGTGAAAATCACCTGTAATCACACCCTCAGTGATAATTACTATTAATATTTTGATGTTTATTTCTGTCACATATGATATATATATAATGTATGTATATTCATTCCTTTTGGTTCCTTCTGTTATAGGAAAAACCTAGAATGAAAGAAATATGGTTGCTATATAATATGTATCATATACAATAACATTATATAATAGATACCATTTTATAAAAGTGAGACAGTACTCTATATGCAATTTTCACTTAACATTTATCATGAATACCTTTCCACATTAAAAAATACAGATGTATATTATTGTTTTAAAGGTTTTATTATATTCCGTTATATGAGTATACCATAATTTATGTAACCAATCATCTGTTGTGGACGTTTCTAATTTTTTACTACTAAAAATATTTCTGCAGCAAGCATCTTTTTTGTGTTTATCTGATTTATTCCTTAGATAAATTTTTATCATGGTAAAACTATTGGGTCAAAGAATATCCACCACATTTAAAATCTGAATAGATATTGTCAAATTGCTCTCTAGAAATGTACCAATTTTCGCATCACCAGCTTGGACCATTTTGGGGGCAGTTCTTCTGGCTTGTATTTTCTTCCTCTTGTTCTAATATCTGAAAGTAAAGAGATAAGAAAAATTAGAGACATGATAGTAGCGAAAATAATTTTTTTGTATTTCAGTGCTTATCACTCTTTAACATAGACAAAAAGGGGAATGTGGAGTTACTAAAAGATTTTTCATTATGACTTCTCACCACTCGTAACCTAGCTTAACTGTTTGTTTAAAATCATGACTACCTCTACCTAAGTGCCATTATTATCACAGAAAATTCAGATTTAGACGTGACCAAAAAATATATCTGTATCATTAAATCATATTTTAAATGAAATGTAATTTTTTATTTTCAGATTGCCTGGACTTTTGGGACCTCTTCAGATTACGTTAGGAGATATTTACACACAACTTAAAAATCTTGTCCGAACTTTCAGGTTAGTATTAAATATAACAATTTTCTTCTTGATTATTTTGACTTTATGGAATTGCCTTGCAGAATCCATAGATAAACTAAAGCACGAAGAAAGTTAAGTAATTTATCTTCAGGGTCTTAGATCTAAATACAGTGTTCCATTTTCCCCTCAGCTAAACGACATTGTTTCTATCATCTGTTAAATTCAACCCCTAACTTACTCAAATCTTGATGTATTTAAGCTTTGGATAGTTTATTTATGGCATAACCTAACATTAAGAAGGAAAAATAATATTAGTGACACAAAGGTGGTTAGTCAGTAACATCTTGGGTTTTAGTGGATGAGTATATACCGTATTATCAGATGACCAGCACTGTGCTAGTAGGCGCTGCGGTCAGTACAAAAGAAGCGTGATGCCCACACTCAATGAGGAACTTTCCTTCAGAAAATAAGGTGAACATAGTGCACAGTATAAGACATTAGGTGATTTAGTATTGAATTGTGTAGAACAGACTTGAAGTGCTACAGAAGTACAAAGAAAGGGAGAATAGAGAACTGATATCACTTGAAGTTGGAATTTTCTAAAACTATGAAGGAAGAAATATTCGACTAGGCTAAGACTAGATTCTCTACACCAAGAAGCATAGGGTTAGGCTTCTAAATACCTTATTAGTAGACATGTACCAAATAGACATTTTGGTGAATGCCAGATGACCAAATATTTGCCTGAGGCTAAAGCCAGATAGAACCAACATAAAATGAACTTCTGAGGTAGAAGAATCAACTCCTCCAAAAGATTAATATTATTATAGTTTATTGTTGCTAATCGTAGTATTCAGATTTTAAAAGTTTAAAATTATAGTACACGAACTGTACATTTATAATACCAAATATGTATTCACTTTCAACTGGGATGTTTAAAAATATCACCTTTTGTGTACCACAGAGTAGTTGAGGAGAAAGTTTTTCAATAATGTGTTTATTAGAAGGAACTTTGTATTTAGGATTCATAGCTTAGGCAAATCTCAACAATTCTTCAACTACAGGAAAGAATCTTTTTTAAAATTTTATTGTTAGAAAAGGATCATTTTTAATACTTTATGTTTAAATATTTAGCCTCCATAAGACTCAAAGCTATAGTAATTGTCTTCTTAAAACATTTTTATAAAGTGTTTTATTGTGAAGTTTGACTGTTAAGAATAAAATGTGTTTGGGGTAACCCATTTTTATCTTAACAGTTTTGTCTAACACTTCGTTATTTTCATTAGAGATTATATTTGGATGAGTGCATATATGTTATTTATATAATTTAGAAAATTTTCCTCCTTATGAAATTTTGAGATAACATTCTGCTTTTAATTCATCATCATAAGATGTGAAGAATTCCCCAATAGGGCTTTTTCTTAAAAGATTTATGAAAGTAAATAACTACAATTTAAATATAGTGCATAAAGATTTTCTTTAATGTTATGAATCCTACTTCTTAATACAGTTCTACAAAGATTTGAATTATGATAAAATATAATGTATTACTCTACCCTGTATTATTGTGTAAATTTTATTAAAGATTTTTGTTTCTAAGATATAATGTTCTTGAGAAAGTAATCTGCTGAATTAATATTTATTAACTGTCAATCTATTTTTTAAATGATTGAAAATTCTTTCTACTTGGTTTTATACATAAAATTAACAGTTTTCACAAGGATCGTTAATTATTTTAGCACTTTATTCTTCAGCTGACATAGAACAAGCACATAAGACAGTTTCCCTCCATTTCATGTAGGATACTTATCTGTATTTGAAAGTGAATGTTCAGGTAATAATAAATATGAATGATGTGATTGTTCAAATTATTGAGATTCTTACACTAATTAGATGTTATGGAAACCTGTGTCAGAAATGATGCACAGATCGGCCTAGGCTTTTGGAAGTTTGTACTAACTAAATGCTTTGCCAAATAGAGGGTTTGGGCCAAATATCAAGGTCAAAGGTGAACTTCTCTGCCTCTCTACTAGTGATGAAGAAAAGCACATTTGTATTTTAATTGCTCTATCTTATCAAATAACCATGCAACCAAAGAGAAAAAAAAAAAAGTTTTTAACAACTGTCTACACTGATGATAAAGTTTGAATAGGTGTACACAAGGTAGAAACACTGAAGTTTAGGATTTGTTCAGGATTTATCAGGTAGTAAACGTTATACTAACAGGAAATTTAGCTGAGGAAAAATAAAGACCAGGTGCTACTCTGTTTTCATTGATTCTTAAAGGACCTGCCATTCAGCTTCTTGTGAACAATGTTTATTTAATCATTCTCAGCAAACTGGTATATCACCGAAGACATATTAGAAGATGTGTTAGAATAAGATCTTATTTTACTCCGATCTTGAACCACAAATATGAATTTTGTACTTCATTTTTCTCACATTCATTTAGAAGGTGAACTAGCAGTTTTCACTGGAGGTTTTTCTTTTTTTTTTAATCACCTGATTTAATTTTTTAGACTGTATTTTCTAGAACCATTTTTCGGTAGAACTAATTGAATGTATTATTAAAATTATTCTGATATTCTCAGGACTTATTTAGAAACCCATAGGAAGGAAATGTTAGGCTATACCAAGCCTTCTAATCAAAGGCAGCAGTTCGCAAATGTGAGGGCTGATTGGAATCACCTGAGGAACTTTAAAAATAAATTGATGCCTACATCCCACTCCCCAACTCATGAAGATCTGATTTAATTGGTCTGGCCCATGGCCTTCAGGAATCAGGTTTTTTAATGCTCTCCAGGTGACTTTAATGGGCAGTCAAAGCTGAGAATCCACTGTTTGGGGACATAATACAACAAAGTAATTTAGAGACTAGCACCTCACTGACCATCCAAGTCCTTGATTCTCCTGCTTCCTTCTGCAGCCAGTCAATAATTTTTAGAAAAGATAAAAGTGAAATTTCTATTATAGTGTTTTTTCCCAGTTTGTTTTATTTTTTCCCTCTACTTCTAAGGACCTCTCTATATTTTTCCACCATAGGCCACAATTAAAACTGTCTCTATTAAGTAGTGGCTAATTTGGTTTCCTTTTCTTTTATTATTAATTACTAAAAAAAATACATTTACTGCCAGTGAGAACTTTTATTCAGCACTTTGGTAACTGATGTTACGATACCAAGTTATTATAACTTCACTCAAAATAAACAATGTTTGAGTTAAATTGTAAACTTTATTGTGTGTGAATATGCTTTTTCCTTTAGGGTTATTGTGTCATCTGAATTATATTTAAAAACTGGAGGATTACCCCATCACTACTTTCATATGCTGTAGGGATTTAGGTATTTCACATTGGAAACCACTGTCCAATCAGTTATTTTTGATCTTTTGAAGCAGCCCTGGTATTGATCCATATCAATACATATACTCAACACTGTGTAGTATTCACTGTGTGCCAGGTTGAGCTTGGCACTTTACGTATACAGGTAGTCCCCTGACTTGCGATGTATTTGAGTTATGATTAACTGCACTTACGACTGTCTGTGGATTTTTTTTGTTTTTTTGTTGGTACATCTTATTGTTAGCAATATGTACTACATACAGCGTTGCAGCACATAATTTGCTGATGTTATCATTCTCAGATACTCACTTGCAGATGTTCAATGTTATGATTTACTGTTCAAAACACTGCCTTATAACAGTGGTCTACAGTGAAGTCGGTGTCAGGAGCCGTAACAGATGGAAAGCTGGGCAGTATTCAACGCTGGTGACATACAGCAATTGAACTGCACACGCGTCCAACAGCCCGTTCGACTCTGGCTTCATTGTTACAACACTGATGCCGACTTCATTGTAGACCAGGCCGGTAGCATGACTTTATTCAGTGTTTTGTACCATCAGAAGCATCAGTTGTTAATTTGAAATCAAGTTATTCCAACCCTGAAAGACAAATAAAGATCAAATTTATAAGGTAGTGATAATAAAAGGCAATACTGTATTTTTACATAAATAACACGCACCTTGTTTGCCAACCACTCCCTGCCTCCACGAGGTATTTTTTGTAAATACACTATGCTAATTTTTTTTTACAGCAATATGTTTAAAAAAAAAAAATTGGCATAGCAGTGCTTCTGAAATACCTTGCAGGGGAGGGAGTGGTTGGCAAGCAAACATGAAGGTGCGTTGTTATTTGCATAAAATACAATAATAATGAAAATTTTTAAAAAGAGGTATTCAACTTATGTCAGAACTGACTTAAAACGGAGTCATCGGAATGGAACCTCGTCATAAGTCGGGGACTACTTGTATTATCTCATTGAATTTCAAAAAATAGTGATATTATCCTCATTTTACAGATGAGGGGTGAGAAAGTTTAAGTAACCTCTCAAAACACACAACTAGTAGTTGGATTTTGACAGCAAGTCTGTCTGTACCTGGAGCCCGTGCTTTTTTGCCACATTATGTTGCCTCTCCTCTGGGTAGGTGAAAAGGTTATTGATCAGTCATAAAAGACAGTATGGATTCAGATTTTTAAAATGGTTTGCTCATGTTTCAAAGAAAGGCTTAAGTCCTTTGCTTTGATACAGGTCAGTGTCCGTGTATTTAACTTTCCATCTGGTCACTTGGTTACTAAACTAGATAATCAAAACTTCTTTGAAACCAGAAATCTGTAGTAGCTTTTAAAAAAACCGTAACAGTTGTATCTTTTGTAACTATTACTATATTGAAGATTGTCAGTCTGTTCTACCAAATTTTTAAATATTTAGATTTAGTATAACTCTTTTATAAATAAATTTTCTTCAACGAAACATCAGTTTGTCCTTTAGCACATATTAACAAAAGAAGAGGAATAACAACTTTATTACATTAAATTGAGCTTTGGAGTAAGAATGAAGGGATGTGGGACTTATCCCACCTGTTTTGTTAGATGAAGCTAGACTGTGATTTAACCAGGACCTTATACTTCTTAGTAAACCCACGGCTACTAATTCCCAGGCTACTGTTTTCCCTCCATCACCACCCCCAACCCCACAGCACATT